ACTAATATAATCAATGTTTATCAAAAGTGCTTATGTATACAAACACTGAACTAAAACACGAATCATTTATTTCTAAATATTTGAAATTTTGCAAAACTTTAAGAGAGAATTTGCTATTTCCTTTCAAATCCAATATAACTCCGGTCGAGTCGAAAAGTACACCTTGTTTCTTTTTCTACAATGTTTGTTTAATTATCATTATACATATATTGTGTGTATTTATCTTCACCTTTTTATAGGGAGAGGGCTAAAATAGGCTTTGCCTGCTGCCCAATCCCATTCATTTTTTTGTGAATAAAAATACCGTATATTTTTTTTTTATATTGAATGTAAACATTACTTGTGTATATAATTTGCGAATTACTTTTTTACATTATTATTATTATCGTTTTTCAGAGATTACAAGCTTTGAAACTCCCTTAAAAGTTCTAAAGTTAAGCTTTATAGTAAATAGAAGTATCGAAAAAGTTATTGTTAACTATACGAGGGTCGTTCAATAAATACTACCAAAGGACATCAAAAAATAAGAGAAGCACAAAAACAGTTCCTTTATATTGTATATCTAATCATTCAAAGTATTCCCCGTTAATCCTTATACGTGTCTCAGTCTCTTTACATATGACCGTAACAACTCAGCATATTCTTTTTTGAGGTAACGCAAAGGACACTAATGGAAAGCACTACCTGTGACAGATCTAAAATAGGAGCTTCTTCCTTTGAAGTTTTTCTAGATTTTTTTGAAAAAGAAAAATGTCACAATGACTAAGATCTAGCAAATACGGAGGATGACTAATCTCTGTAAACGTCCCTTTCTTCAAAAATTCCTTTACATCTTTTTGCCTTTTTACAACAGCGTTGTGTAAAAAGCGTTGTGTCGCCCGCGTGGCACAGTGGTTAGAGCGTCTGCTCTAGAGTCGCGAAGTAAGGAGTTGATCCTTCCTATTAATCTATGGTTCATTATGAACATTATATAGTATTTTTTTAGTGCAACACTCATAATTTTGTTCAACTCCTTGTAATCTCTTTTTTTTTTTAGAAAGAAATCGTCTACTGTATACCTGAACAATATCTCCAAACATTCAATTCTGTTTTAGATCAAAGGTACAGCAAGCAAGAGTGTATCTTCTAACGTAAAATGTTTCAAGACCAAGGGCCCTATTCATAGTTGCTGTCCATGGTAAGCGAGTAGCTCACTCTGACTAATTGGTCTTAATAAATTCTGAACAGGTGATAAATTGAGACATTCTGATTAGATTTGTAAAACAAGTTTGCACAATTATGTTTACCTGTAATGGTGATCCATCTATAATTAATTAACATAGTTTATACTGATGATCCTCACCATGAAGATAAATGAAATAAATGCAATCATTCATGTTCAAATATGCAGAGACTTCTTTGAAAATACTAAAATAATGTGACTGTTGAATATTCAATATAAATATTCAATATCAAGGAAAATATATCAAATATAGGATAAAGGAAATACTTTGAAAGGAAGAAATAAAAGTGAAAAGTTTAATCTTTTAACACGATCTTCTGGCGTCAGCTCAAACATGCAAGGAACTAACACAGACGAAGGAAAAGGGCAAAGAAAGATAGCGACAGAAGATGAAAATGAAAAAAGATGCTTAAAATAGAACATAGTGCCCAAAAATGATTTTTCTTCAACTTCTTTTAATACCTTGCAATGTACTCTTGATGAAAATGAAGAAGGAGGAACGATAAATAACCGGAAAGAATCTTTAACATCCAAAGTTATATGAAAGAAATGTTGTAAATTATGGCAAAAATGCTGAAGCAGTAAATTCTTTTTATAGTCAGCATGATCCATTGATCCCATGCAAAAGTTTCAAAGTTTTGTTAATAATAATTGTAAACATACAAATAAACGCTTTGGTGCAATTCTTTTTTTAAACATCACAAACTAATATTCAGCTACATTTTTGGGCTTAACAGGGTGCAGCGATGGCTCATATAAGTGCATGTGGGTTGTGTAACATCAATGGTACATACATGTATATTAGTTTTATTACTAAGTACAGCTTGACTTACGTCAGACCTCTTCTGAAGACTGCAACGGGAAGTAACCAAAGATAAAAATATATATTTACTTAGGCGGACGTATGACCTGAATTATGTGCATCTTATGTCGAACACTTATAACAAAAAAAATGTTAGATAACGTTTGATCATGAGCTGGTCTTGGATATATTTTGAGAAAAGATTTTCAAACAAAACCTGACGTTTCATTCATTTCTTTAAAAACGAATTAAACTTTCAATTAAACACCCTCACGTAACATCCACTGCACATGCAAATTTCATAATGTTAAAATCTGTTGTTAGATGGGAAACCTGTTTTTCCACGAAACATTTGTCTGTGCAGTACATCCTTGTTACCAGCATGACTTAAACTAAAATTAAAGACAATTATGACATCAGCTTCCTCTGTAAAGTAGTTTTGTATTCACAATGGGATCAGCACTTGCTATATCCACAAAGATAGATACAAAGGGAAAAAGTCAATACAAAATCATTAAAAAATCATAGATAACACATTTTAAGTAGAAAGGATGTTTGTAGAAGTAAGAATAACAGTAGATACTTGAAATATTTCAAGATAAGGAAAGATCAACTGGAAAAACCTTTACCGTAGTTTTCAAAAAAGTAGAGATATACATTTACATTGGTTAACTTCTTTTCCTTTTTGTGTATTGGAATTGCAGTATGTGTTTCATTATAGTCTTTCTATTGATTTGTGATGTCGGAATTAAGGTTTTTGGTGAGTGACCAATATGTACTTTATTTTTACCATAATGTTATTAATATTATATAATCAAATAATTTAATTTTCATATTTGGGTAAATATTGCGACATTGCAGTGACCATACATAAGCAGCGTAAGCGGATAATGTTGTCAACCCCTGCATTAACAAAAAAATGAATGTCATTTTTTGTCTGTAAAAAATTATTCGTATAAAGTGGATGAAAATAGAAAATATAATATCATTAATTATCCAGGTCCAACCAAGGGTGTACGGGGATTTACCCGGGTTTTATGGAATACAACCCGGGGTTAAATCCCGTACATCCTTGACTGGACTTGGATAACGAATTTTTTTCCTATGTACCCGAATAAATTCTTTGAAAACAAGTCGAATCAACTCTGTTGTAAGCTATCGATAATATTTACTACGTCCTAAACTGCATCGTGACGTCATGTTATTTGCTATTTATCATAGAGAAACTATGCATTGTGACGTCACGTTTCTTTGACCCCGGCTCAAGTCGGGTACACAGATATTTACAACCGACTTTGTAACCAATGAAAACTCGTGTTACAAGCTACATAGAAAATAAATAGTATTTACTGTCCTTCCGTTACATTGATATGAGGGGCTTTTTCGAAAATCTTTTAAGTAGATGTCTTAAAAACTGTTTCTTACTAGTTAATTGTTAGTAATATTACTAATTGTAGAATATACTAAGATGAATCTTTAATTTCAATACATATATATCTTATTCAATACATATTCCTTATTTATTTCGCGGTGCTATGAATTATGTAAAATGATCATTTAAATTTAATAACTAGTGTGAGTGATATGGAAGGTATATGATTATTAATCAAGATACCTAAGGGCGTTTACGATAAACTGTTCATGGCGCTGCTGTGAATTATGTAAAATGATCATTTAAATTTAATAACTAGTGTGAGTGATATGGAAAGTATGTGATTATTTATCAAGATACCTAAGGGCGTTTACGATCAACTGTTCGTGATACAACCTTAATGCAGAATCACAGAATGTCAATTTGAAAATTGTATAATTCAACAAAATTTTGAGCAAAATATTTTATTCACAAACAATGGAAATAGTACGATGAAAGACCGAGAGAATACTTTAACTCTAAATCAGCAAAATCTCTGAAAGTAAATAAATTTACTAATGAAAAAGAAGAAGATGAAAATTCTGAATATATTAACTTTGTTAAAAACACATAGAACTGCCCATGGAGAACCCTGATATGTTCAACAGTGCTTCTTTAAATTCACAAGTTAGAAGGAAGTGCGAATATAGGAATTGGTTGCAGTATATATCAATCATTTGTACATGTATAGGCGTTAATCACCTATAAGTAGTGAAAACAACTTTTTTCGAACCGAATGATGCAGTTTACTGATATGTGTGATATCACCAAATATACCTGGAATTGGTGATATATCCTCATTCTTAGATACAACAGAATGCAAGCTATTGTCTCTGTCAAATTTTCATATTTCCTGAGCTAGTTTCAGATGTCTCGTTTGCCTGAAAATCAAATATCGGCCTCTACAAGCACAGTACCTTTATGATATAAAGTATTTAGAATTCGGTGTAAATTTTGCAAAACAGAAAATGTGAAAACTTTTCTCATGATTACCTTGTTATATTTGTTTGTGTAAAATGTCTCCAATACAATTTTAAGCTTGGATTTCAGATAACCTTAACAAACATTAATATATACAAATAAATTAACAAGTAAACTAAATAATATTTTGGGGAAATAGAAAATTTAAGTTTCAAAGATTTGACATTGTAAACCAGAGTGTTGATTAAAAGCATTTATGATAATAAAGTAAATATAAGCAGCAAATATGGTCCAATGACGATTCAAAGTAATTTTTGGATAAAAATATTTTATTATTTAATTTCATTTATTTCAATATTTCTGACATATTTTTATTCGAATGATTTGTTCTGATTTGTGATGGATTTCTTTGAGACATGTAATTGCTTACAATGTGGTAGGTAACGCGTACAGTAAAACAAATTTTCAAATTATCATCAATTATTATTTAAAGTTTTCAGGGAGAGTCTTTTACTTTTATTGAATGTACGATACTATATAATGGCAAAACAAACCAAAATAAATCAAAAATAAATCACAACCCTTTTGCAGCTGATGGCTATGTACATATATCCTCCGTTGGCACCACCAAGCAAGTTTTTACGGATGATACAAATATTCAAAAGGACTATACAAGGAAAGGTGTTATCAATGCAACGTTGCGCAATAATTCCCCTTCAAGGCCATTTACAAATGATGCCAGTATCCAACAAGACTACATGAAATCAAACGTCTATACTGAGAAAGTCTTCACTGATAATACCTTAGACATTTTAACAGATGATACTAATATCCAAATTGACAACATTAGTTCAGACCAAAGGATCAAAGGTGCGTATATGATGTTTCCTTTATGATGTTTTTTAGCATTATGAGGATAATTAAAATTCATTTTATAAAATGTATCTGCATTTGAAGATGCAAGAATCATATTTAAATCAATGATACAATTTCCTATATTTATTGAAATGCAAAGTGTAATTTTTTCCTCTCTAGTTATCTATCGATGCCTATTAAAATATCTTTCAAAAATATTCCATTAAATGATTGCAAGAAACTATTTTCTTATCTTACATTCCAGTAGACTTAACCTTTCTATCATACTAAAATTCATGTTAAATAACTTTTTTTTTCTTTTTTGCTTCTTAGGCAGTACATATGGAATCTCTGGAGCCGCTATTATAATAATCATAGCCACAATTTGTTTGATTACTTGGCTTTTCAGGTATGTCCTCTCTCTCTCTCTCTCTCTCTCTCTCTCTCTCTCTCTCTCAACCGATCGACTTTTTTGTCACTGAAGTCAATATCACGTACACTTGAAACAACGTGTGTAATATGATGTATTTTTTGTTCAGACGTAAAAAATATCGTCAAGAAAACCGTTGTGGTCTGCAGAAAAATAAAGCTCATGAAGCTGGACTTCCGGACAACCCTCTATATCATTGCTTTGAATCACTAGAAAATTCTAATGAAAAGAAATCAAAAGAACAACAAGAAGGTTCCCTACCTTCTGCAAATGAAGAAGATGACGCCATACAGAGACAGAAGAAAACCCAATCTATGTTATACCACACAGAGTTAAAGAGCAGGGACCAAGCAAAAATTGCCAGTTCATATTTTTAAATGAGTTCAAATGCACTCTTGTTTTCAGGTTGCAATCCAAATGTATAGTTATCTATAAAGTCATCTTAGGGCAAAGTCTCCGAAAAAATTGGTAAAGCTAATATGCTCCAAAGAAGAATGTGTTGCTTGCTATACACTATGATTTTATTCCTTGCATTTGCCTGCAAAAAATAAATCCACATGGATGTAAAAGCTGATTTATCATAAAATGTGACACAAAGAACGATAATTCCTCAACTCTATAAGCTAAAATGATTGATTGATTGATTGATTGTATGTTGTTTAACGTCCCATTCGAGAATTTTTCACTCATAGAGAGACGTCACCATATACTGGTGAAGGGCTTCAAATTTTGACCTTTACTCGGCACTCAGGGCCATTGAACAGTGAGGGATCATTATCGTGCCAACGCCCGCCTTGACATGGGGCCTCGGTTTTTAAGGTCTCATCCGAAGGACCCGCAGCTTTCACTTCAAAGTGCCGAGCGCATGGCGAAGGAACAGTTGCTACCCATTTTTTTTTTTATCGACTTAGGTCAGTCGCGGCCGAGATTCGAACCCATGAGCTCCCGATCACGGAGCGAGCGCTCTACCGACTGAGCTACCGTAAACGGTATGAGAGATTTGAAAGATTTGAAAAAAAATGTTGTAATAATCGCTAAATATTCCTGCACATGTTACGAAATATTAACAAATTACATATAATAATATAATAATATATGAGTGTATATGTATATATATATATATATATATATATATATATATATATATATATATATATATATATATATATATATATATATATATATATGGAACTTTTTAATCATAATGACACAGTTAATTAAATTTAATATACATAGCAAACATTGATTACAAATTTCATTTTTTTTTTTACAGATAGATCTCTTAATACCTGCAATCATACTTTGTGATAAAAGGTGTTTGCATTGTGTACAAAATTGGATTTTGCTGTTATTTCATGCTTAAAACATTTGGCTAATACATGGAATAAATGCAATTATTAACAGTAAACAAGAGTATTCTTGACTTATAAAAAGCATAATAAAATTAATGGAGAAACATCACACTCTAAGGAAACCATAGCAAGAAAGTCATATGTTTTTGGCACTTTGGCCAAAAAGTGTAACTTACTCTATTTCTGAGTGTATTTTTTTTAAGTATCAAGTATGGAGAAGAAATGTAATTTTTAGCAAATAACAAGCATAATCTCCACTTTTTAAACACATTTGAAAAATTAAGGTTAAACTTTATAAAAAGAGCAATCATAGCTTAAAATTGTATATTTTGGCACTATATATATATTAATTATATTAATTTTTCTAATATTTCATGCTTGTTTTAAAACTTTGGGAAATACATGGAATGAATGTAATAGTAAACAGTATATAAGCATACTTTTTTAAATGCATGAAACGATTTATTTAGAAACATTGCACATAAGAGAAATCATGGCATGATATCATACAAGTGTATGTTTTTGCACTTAATTTGCGATAAAATGCAATTTTGGCTGTCCAAAGTCAATTCTACGTTAAACTGCACCCGCTCGCGTAGGTTTAAGAAAAATCTGTCTTTGGAAAAAACAACAATTCGGAATTTAAGTATCCGTTCCGGTTTGGTTTTACATTTAGCGACAAAATTTGGCATCCCGTAGTGAAGGAAAATGTGCTGTGAAATCAGGGTCGGTGTGTTACAAGAAGAAACTGGTGATGTAAACAGCATAAAAAAAAACATGGATTATTTTATAACTGAGGTTAATGAAAATTTTTATGGTGAGTGTTTTATGTCAGTAGTCAGATAACAGACTCTCAGTTCGTAATATTTTTGCTGAACCATTCACTGTATTGGAGAATATTGCAAAGGTTTTTATTCAGTGTAGAATGCTGAAAACCGAGATTTTACAATATACAGTGAGATATATCACTTTAATTTTAGTTAATACATGTGGTTTCATCTTTAAATATTGCTTTAAAAATTAAAAGAAGAAAGTTGATGTGACTGATTATACATGTACTCGTAGAATTCATGTACCTACAATTCAAAGGAATATAAATATTATGCCCTGTTCACACGGAGAGTTTAATTCGAATTAAACGTAAGTTACTGCGAATTAAATTTGATCCGCGTTCACACGGAGAATTTAATGCGAATTAGTTTAATTCGAATTAGTTTACTGCGCATTAAATTACTTCGCATTAGCTCCGTGTGAACGCTAAGCGAAGCTAATTCGAATTAAATTTTGACGCATGCGTAAGAGCAAAATTAAGTCACCTGCCACATGACGGTGGTCAGTTATAGGTACCTATGCCATTTTTAGTGCAAAACAAAGGAAAATTACGTTAATCACTGAAATGTGTATAGACACTATGACATTATGTCAAATGGATTTGCTCTGCATAAGGTGACGTGATTTGAAAATGACGTCATAATAGCCTTACTGAGAAGCCTTACTGTAGAAATAAAATTTTAATTCGCATTAGTTTACTTCGCATTATCTCTCGTGTGAACGCAATTTAATTCGCATTATTTTAATTCGCATTATTTTACTTCGCATTAATTTACTGCGAATTAAACTCTCCGTGTGAACAGGGCATTAGATACTGAAGTTTTAGCAGGAAAAAGCTTTGATACAGAAGACGAGGGTTTTCAAGTGAAGAGGAAAGAATGAGAGTGGGGGGGGGGGGTTGTGGATGTAGGAAAACTTATCTAACAGCTATGGTACATCAATTATTGTACTTTCCTTTTCAAAACCAAATGGTAGACTAAAACAGTGTAATAGAGAAACATAGCATATGTTCAATTTTAATATATTTCAAAAAAAGAATGTAATAAATATGGGCATCATTTTAATTGTAGACACTGGTCAACTATTTCCACAAGAAGAAGCCTTTTCCTATTGTGTTGCGAGCCACTCTCCTGCACATCAAATCTACTTCTTGTGCTAAAAAAAGGTTGCCAACCAATATGTGTACTTAGGAAAAACTTTTTTACTTGTGAATTGCAAAACTGTCTTAGCCTTAGATATCAAATTTATATTCTTATTACTCAACAGCGTTCTTTTTATCTAGTGAATAGGTTAATTAGAATATATAAACATTTGTTGAACATTTTTGTTTGTTCATTTTTTTTCCTTCCTCCCTTGTAGGTTTTGAATTTTGTACGTGACGTTTAACGTAGAATTAACTTTGGCCAGTCTTTGCTATATTCAGGGTGGATTAAAATATTTAGCAGGAGACAAGGAGAAATGCAATTTGTAATACACGTGCATACAATGTAATCTTGACTAAAAAAAATTATGAACTTCAAAAAAGATGACACATAAGAGATGTCAGAACTCATTATTCTACTCTTCACAGCTAGATGAAAATGAACACACATGATTATTAAATTCAATTTCCCCTAGCACACTGTAAATAATGATGACTATCAGACTTGGTAAATAATTGAAATGTTTAACAAAAATGTGTAACAGAATTGAAAAAGCACATGTATTTTCCCTCATTAATATACATGCATTAGTAGTTGCAACATATTATACATGTATATGTAAAGAACTTCTTCTTTCAGATCATTCAAATTCCTTTCAAAAGATGCTGCCAAGAAATATCCAGCATCGCATTTTCTGTCTTTCCGAGAGAGTCTTGAAAAGAAACGTGGTAATTGAGTTGGTGTTAAGTAATCCTCCATCCCAAAACGCTTTTTTTCCATTTACAAGTACATAAGCCAAAGTCAGCTGTGTCTGTTTACAACTACATGTACATCTTAGCTAGGTTCTGGGGAGATCAGAATTTTTTAAAAGGTACAGTGTATACACTTAACATGAAGTAATATTCTCCTAAGTTACAAAAAATATTCTTGATCATATTAAACTCAATCTTATTCAAATGGCTTTCCCAAAGTAAATCTTATTGTTATATTACTGAATAATTCCTATCTCTCTGATTGGCTGAGATTCAACATGATAGAAAAATAACATGTTATATTCACCTGCACGTTACTTTCCAGGTGAATATAAGGATTTATTTCTCTCATCATTAGACTAAAAATAGATTGGGAAATTCCAATTTGATACAAATAGCTTTGGAAAGTTATTTCATTTGCACTTGACTTCCACTCATAAGAACATAACATTAAGGTACATAGAATCTTGGGTGAGGAATGGGTGTGGGGCTAGTCAAAGATTTTTTTTTTCTGGTAAGCTTTCAATTTTCCCCTTATGATGCCACCCCCCCCTTTTTTTTTAAATTGATCCTATATACGTGCCTGACATTTTTTTTTTCTAAATTGTACCTAAAAGAGAATTAAAAATTCCAAATTAATACAATTGGTTATGTTTATTTTAACCCCGTTTCTCTCATTATATTTAGCTAGTACATCGGTAAATGTAAATACGTAAGATAGCAAGGATTGCTTCAGAGTTTAATCAATACATCGGGTTCATTGAATATTGTACTCCTCGGGTGTCTAAATGATCGTAATTACCTCAAAACCAGCAATAATTGTATAATATTCACATGGAGTTAAACATTGTAAAACCACACAAAATATCTGAAAGCATGAGAGTTTTAAGAAATGTATGTAAAACGTTAATTCCAATACTGTATAAACTCGAGGCACTGTCAACAAGCTCACAAAATGATACATACCCCCACGCCCTTGCATTTTTTTAAAACAGCCCATAAAGAATTTTCTTGAAGTGACCTTGAACCTGCCAAATGACCTTGGCTTAAAAAAAGACACATACTCTGGTCATAAGTAATCTATTAAAATATGAATATTCAATGTTTTTCATTAGAAAATTATGGATCTGACATAATTTTTTCTACCTTGAGTCAGGCGATAAGACCTTCAAGTACAGTGTTTACGCCTCCACTGATTTTCCTTCACAAAACGTAACCCAGACATTTTTGTACAGACAGCTATTCAGACAGGCAGATGGATAATATGATTCATACCCCCCCCCCCAAAAAAAAAAAAAAAAAAAAAAAAAAAAAACTTCCGACCTTTAGTGCTTTT